CTCCCCTCCCCTCTCCCCTCCCCTCCCCTTCCCTCTTCTCCTCTCCTCTCCTCTCCTCTCCTCTTCCTCTCTCAGTCCCCCACCCCTCCCCTCATGGACAGATTTATTCTGCTGGTCATGTTCAGCCTGAACTCCTCCAGATTGACTGTTCTCTCCTTCATATCTACAATAAAACCTCCTCAGCCATACCTAGGAGCCGTCATGTCCTCATTAGCATTTAGTGTTGGCCCCATTTGAAAGGGGGAGAAACCGAGGCTCAAAAGGGCGACTGGCTATGCTAGGAAGAGAACCTGATTCCCTAGTTCAGGTTACAAGGTCTTGTCACATAGCCCCGTGCAAGGCTGACCACAGCATCCAAGGGACGGGAGTTACCGCTCGGTTGGTAGAGGTACCAGGCACAAAGCCCTCCATCCGACCAGCACCGAGTAAACTGGGTGGCCTGTGCCTGTGATCTCAGCACTGGGAAGTTAGAGTTGTTGAAAGACCAGAAGTTCAAGGTCATCCTCGGACCTGGTAGTGAATTCTAAACTAGCCTGAACTACATTAGACTCAGAACAAATAAAAACCACCAATGCAATAACAAAAAGTCTTGAGCCCTCAACATGCCAGTCACCAATCTTGGGGGCCAGAGTCCCCATTCCTGATCTCCTGACCATTGGGCAGTATTTCTCCAGAAAGCAACAGGCCCATGGGGAAGCCATTGGCAAGCTGGCACGGGCTCACCTGACTGGCACAATCAAAGCCAGTGCCCAGGGCAGCCAGGATGAACAGCACCCAGGGGCTGCTGTTGCACTTCACTGCATAGAAGGGCTGGACTTGGGGCAGGGCCTGGAGGAAGGTCTGGTGGCGGCTGGCCAGCACATCCAAGTCAGCCACCATGAAGGGGTCTTGGCGGCCCTGTTAGGGCAAAAACAAGAGGGCGAGGTGGGGAGAAGGTTAGGTCCTGGGGTCCTCTCCACTCTATGACAAAACAATTTCTGATCCTCTAATTTTCTTCCCCTCTCCTTCCATTTCACGTTGTGGGGGGAAGGTTTGTTTGTTTATTTTTGAGACAGGGTTTCTCTGTGTAGTCTTGGGTCTCCTGGAACTTGCTCTGTAGACCAGGCTGGCTTTGAAAACAAGGGCTCAGTTAGAAAATCAATGGCTTGAGGTGACACAGTAAGAATGTGACAAATAGAAAATTTAATTTTGTTTTTGTTTGGTTTGGTTTTTCGAGATTGGGTTTCTCTGTAGCTTTGAAGCCTATCCTGGAACTAGCTCTTGTAAACTAGGCTGGCCCTGAACAATTTGATTTTTAAAAATTTATTTGTTTTTTTATTTATTTAGAGACAGGGTCCCTTTATGTAGCCCTGGCTGTCCTGGAACGTGTTGTGTAGACCAGGCTGGCCTCAAACTTAGCGATCCACCTTTTGAGTTCTGGGATTTAAGAAGTGCACCACTACGTCTGGCAAAGAAAGGATTTGAACTCTGGTCTTTATATCTCTTTAAAAAGGTGCAGGGAGGCAGCTATCTGTAGACTAAGGCCAGAGACAGGATGGCTTCAGCCACAGACAATGGTGTGGTTGAGGGCAAACCCAAGTGCTGAGGGAACAGAAAGAACAGCGGAGCTTGCTCAGGATCCCAGTGCAGGCCCCAGGGAAGCCTAGTCTGATGGCCTCCAAGCTGTAAATGGGGAAACATTCTTGAGTACCAGCAAGGAAAGGGTGGAACCCACCCTCCCTCCTTACCGCAATGGTGAGTTCCTGGATCTTCCTCAGGACCAGCTGCCGGGCAGATTCCTTTGGCCCCAGAATAATTGGCTCTGATGGCCACAGGCTTCCTGTGGCTCCCAGCTGCTCCCTGGGGCCCCCAGGGTGGGTGCTCATTCCTGAGACAACAGCTGAGGTGTTCTCTGGGCACAGTTCTGGCATCCTAGAAAGAACAGCTCTGTGGGCCCAGTCTTTTCCTTCCTCAACTTCTGCTGTCCCTCCCACAGCCTCAAGGGCCAAATCCTCGAAGCCTGGGTCCCATTCAGACCCACGAACTCCACCAAACCCTGTGATATTTTCAGGCTTTACGACAGGCTACTGATGGCACGTGACCTGAGGCACAGATACAGGTGACAATCAAGGCACAGCGACCCTTTCCTCGGAAGGGAGACATAGGAGTCTCCTCCAGGCTCCTTCCCACATGCACCCCATTCAAGATGAGAAACTGAGACTCAATCAAGCAGTCCAACTGTGTATTGTAGAACATCAGAAGTGAGGCCCGTGACCACTCCCACGGGGAGAGAAGGGAACTCGCCTCAGGTTGAATGGTCCCCTGAGTCCCCTGGAACAACCAGAGAGCCCTCAGACTAAAGTGGAGTCACCAACATCCAGAGAGCATTTGGTCCATAAAAGGGACTGTGTCCATGACCCTTCCACGCAGGACTCACCTTGCAGCCATTATGACCTGCTTCCTCGAGTACAGCGCAGAGCCCTGGGGTGATGCTAAAGTCACTGTGGGGAAATCTGGTCCCAACGAGATCCCAGGGTGCAGGAAGCCTACCTTCAGACCAAAGAGAGATCACACCTTCCAAGGTTTACCCACTGATAGGTGTTCAGGAACGGGGACACCTGTCGAAAGCAAGCACTGGCCACCTCCAGAAGCTGGAGAGCCAGCCAGGCAGTGGTGGCACACACCTTTAATCCCAACACTCAGGAGGCAGAGGCAGGTAGATCGAGACCAGCCTGACCTAGAAGAGCTAGTTTCAGGACAGGCGCCAAAGTTATAGAAAAACCCTGTCTCGGAAAACTAAACAAAAAAAAAAAAAGAAGAAGAAGAAGAAGAAGCTGGAGATCCCCACTCATCCCCAGAAGTATCCAGATCACTCCATAGAGGGGGTGCGTCTGGGAGTAGAATCAAGTCTCCAAAACTCATCAGGGGACCCTGGAGCTGCGCTTGGCTCCCAAGGCACGTCTTCTCTCCGTCGCCAATTTAACTGGGACGGTGAGCCTGTCTATGTTACTCCATCTTGCCCCACCCCACCTTACCCTCCCTTTCTGAGGGAGCCTCTAAGGCCTCCCTGTGACCTGATAACCCTCCCAAGATGGAACCACCATCTTGGGGTAGGGCCAGCTCTAGGGTGTCAGCTGTCACTTTCTGAAGGTTTTCACCCCCACCTTCAAGCTACAACCCAAGTAAGTCAAATATTATTTCAGTAAATAATGACTAGGCTCCTATTTATTCTACCCTCCCTTTCTGGGTAGAGTGGGTACACCAGGGGCTAGTTACGGTAGAGACGTGATCGGTCTTAACCCGGAAATAGACCTACTCAGTAGTCCTTCCTACAGCTTCTTGCCTAAAGCCCCTTTGTGGTCCTCCCTCCTCAGGGAAGCAGATGGCAAAGCCGCCTTCCCACTCTAAAAATGTGGCCATGGGTACATCAGTTAATTGTTCTGAGGTTCAATTGCTTCGTCTCGAAAATAGGACCTCAGGAGACAAGGGAAGGATTTGGTGAAATAAGAAGTATTCAAGGCCTTGCTGTCACTGCTGCTATCCATATGGCACTGCTGCAGGATGCCTTGCTTGAGAGGAACAGGCTCACACACACACACACACACACACACACACACACACACGTGCGCGCACACAGACACATATGCACACATGTGTCTTTTGAGACTATAGAATCTCCTGTGTTGATTAAAATGGGAACAGGGTAGAAATTGCCCATTTCTCCCAACCCACATCCTGTTAGGATCATGGGAAAGAATGGATAGTTCAGAGACAGACTCTGAGCAGGAGGCTTCAGCCGCGACCAGGCTCACAGAACAAACTGTGGACGGTAAAAAAAACAAAAAAAGAAGAGCTTGTGCCAATAAAATTAATGTGAAATTGTTCAGAGAGCCAAATGTGTGCTGTTTTATTTTATGTGTTTGGTGTTTTGTTTTTTTGTATGTCTATGCAACAAGTGTATGCTTGGGGCCCACGGAGGTCAGAAGAGGGCCCTGGGTCCCCTGAAACCAGAGATAGAGAAGGTGCGAGCCACCATGGAGATGGCGGGAATCAAATCTGAGTCCTCTGAAAGCTGGATGGTGACGGGTTCCTAGTAGCAGCTGGCCAGCAGGGTCCCTTGGCCACGGGACAAGGTCAGGTTGTTCCTGTGGCTCTTAACCACTGAGCCATCTCTCCAACCTCTAAATATGTGTTTTTAGACAAGTCATAAAGCATACTTAAGAAAGCAGAAGGAGGGGGCTGGAGAGATGGCTCAGCGGTTAAGAGCATTGCTTGCTCTTCCAAAGGTCCTGAGTTCAATTCCCAGCAACCACATGGTGGCTCACAACCATCTGTAATGGGGTCTGGCGCCCTCTTCAAGCATGCATGTAGACAGAATATTGTATACATAATAAATAGATAAATATTAAAAGATTTTAAAAAAAGAAAGCAGAAGGAAATAACACGTCTAGAGAGCATGACCTTTTAAGCGCATATATAACCAAATAGAGGACACTGTAAAGGTCTGATTATATCCATTTATGAATAACACAATTTCACAATCATAAAGCCCAGTGCTTCTTGGCATTACGAGATGTGGGAGTTGGTTCTCACCTAGTTTGAATTTAACGGTGGAATGGATTAAATAGGTGTGCCTTTGATTTTAGGGATGTATTATTTTGATGCCTCAAATATCAGATACTTCTTGGTTTGGGGACTGAGAGTAAGTGTAGAATTGAATCTTTCTGTAAAAGTTGTGTTTTATTTATTTAAATGTGTGTATGTCTGTATTAGTACAAGCACATGCGTGGGTGCCTGGGTGTACATGCTTGTACAGGTGTGAGGTTCTGTGCAAGTGAAGAAGCCAGATGATGTTGGGTCCTTTGGAGCTGGAGTTACAGCCGTTTGCAGGATGCCTGGCTCATTCCATGGGTGCAATCCTCGTGACTGCACAGCAAACACTCAACTTCTGACTCATCTTTCTAGCCCCCTAATATTAAATCTTAGACTCTAAGAAGCATTGGATGGTGACAGGTTCCTAATAGCAGCTGGCCAACCGGATTCTTTGACCACTAGACAGGGTCAGGGTGTTCCTGTGGGCTGAGGAGAGGGACCTGGTAATCCTCCAGTTGAGAGCCTCCAATCCTTTCCTCTCCCATCAGGGGCCAAAGCTCCCAGGCTCCTAGGGACTCAGCAGTACAAGCAGGGGCAGCGAGAGGAGCCTGGAGCTGAAGGAGGATGTTCAGTGGATCAAGAGAAGATCCCTTAGCTACCGGGCCCTCCTGAATTCCGCTGTCAAACCATGAAGGAGTTGAGTAAGACCTCCAGCTTGTGGTTCCAAACAGGAAGGTGAAAAGGCACCCGTTTCATAGCGATAATATCCTCTCCTACCAGATAACTCTGGAAAAGCCTATCTTTAGCTCTGCACCTCCCTAGCTAGACCCTGGGGAACTGCTTTTGTCCCCAAAGCCTCAGTTTCATACTCGAAACCACAAGAAGGTACGGAGAATGGATTGGGAGGGCACGGGGTGGGATGGGATGGGGTGGGGTGGAATGGGGTGGAATGGGGTGGGATGAGGTGGGATGGGAAGAGGTGGGATGGGATGGGGTGGGGGGGATGGGGTGGGAGGGGGTGGGATGAGGTGGGATGGGAAGAGGTGGGATGGGATGGGATGGAATGAGGTGGTGTGATGGCTAATGTTAAGTTCTAGGGTCTAGAATCACTGAAGAGACAAGCCATGGGGCACATCCGTGAGTTATTTTCTAGATTAGGTTAATCGAGGTGCGTAGATGCCACCTGAATGTGGGCGGCACCATCCCATGGGCTGGCACCCTAGACTGAATAAAAAGGAGAAAGTGAGCTGAGCACCAGGGTCCCCCTCTCCCTGCTTCCTGACGGTGGGTGCGATGTGACCAGATGCCCCACACTCCTGCAGCCATGATGGACTGCAATCCCAGACTGTGCGCCAAAGCAGACCTCTTTTCCTTACGCTGTCTTTGCTGGGTATTCTGTCATAGCGATGGGAAAAGTAGCTAATGCAGACGGGATGGGACAGGATGACATCGAATGACAGGAAATGACACAATGTGACACGTGGCAGAAGTGAGAGTGAGACCTGGTCCTACTAACAACCAGGACAACGACGCTGGTGGCAACAGTGACAATGGCTTTTAAAAATGACCAGCTCACACCTTCTTTGTTGGAGCTTTTAATTTCTTAGGTTTTATTTTACTTTGTTGGGGTGGTCCTTGGAATCCCAGGGTCTCCCACCTGCTAGGCAAAGACTTTACCATTGAACTACACTTTCAGCCCCAAACTTTTTTTATTTTTGATTAACATATAAACAATTATTTATGGAGTACAATGTCATTTTGTTTTTGGTTTTTGTTTGTTTTTATTTTGTTTGGTTTTGATTTTTCAAGACAGCGTTTCTCTGAAGCTTTGGAGCCTGTCCTGGAACTCACTCTGTAGATCAGGCTGGCCACGAACTCACAGAGATCCTCCTGCCTCTGCCTCCCAAGTGCTGAGATTAAAGGCGAGCACCACCACCGCCTGACCTGCCTGACTTTTAGATGGGTTCCAAAGATCCGAACTCGTATCCTCCATGCTTGTGCAATGAGTGCTTTACCTAATGAGCTGTCTCTCCAGCCACTCAAGATGCATTTAAAGCAGATCATCAATCTAAGAAGACAGAAGAAATAGTCACAATGTTAATCAATGGATGAGAGAAATGAAAGATGAAGGCACAGCTTACCAACTGCTCTGTCTGGGCGACTCATGGAGTCTCCAGAGGAACACAGTGAGGCGGGGCCTACCTGGGGCCGGCTACATAGCAGACTGGACTCAGAGCATCAGCAAAGAGCCATGTCTAAGATCCTTAGCACCACACTAGCTCAGTGCCAGGACTGAGAGTAAGCAAGGGGCTCCTCGTAGGTACCCGGCACAACACTCCGTGATACTGCCAGCAGGAGCAGGACAGCCATTGCCTGGCTCTGCCTGGAGAATCTGTGAAGCTCCAGCATCTTATCCTCAGAGAGACAGAAATACATGGAGCTGAGTTAATCCAGATCCTTGGGTTGTCTCTCTTTGGCCTGGAATTTGTCGATTAAGATAGGGTGATTGACCACTGAGTGCCATGGGTCTCCTTTCTCCATATTCCCAGCACTGAGATTACAAACACAGACCACTCTCTCCAGCCCCCACGGAGGTGTCATTCTTTAAAGTAAGACTGTAAATCGGTAGGAGCACTTTGTGAAACATGTTGACAATACCCACAAGCTAAAAGCACACATTCCCTGCAGTCTAAGACCTCCACTTCCACCTTTAATCCCAGCACACAGGGGGCAGAGGCAGGTGGGTCTCTGTGAGTTCAAGGCCAGCCTGGTCTATAGAACAAGTTCCAGGACAGCCAGGCCTACACAGAGAAACCCTGTCTCTAAGAAAACAAAATAAAAATTTTAAAAAAAGAACTCTTCTTGGGAGCAGATGTCTGTTAGAAATAAGTGTATGTGTCTATCAAAAACATGCACCAAATGTTCATTCATAGGAGGGACATTTATAATATCCTCAAAGAAATGCCAGCCAAAAATCCATGAGCAGTAGAATTTAAAAGAAAATTATAGTGTACTCTATAGACTAATACACAGGAATGCAAAAAACAAGCTAGTGCTAAATGTAAAATCATGAATGAATCTTGAGCATAATTTTGAGCCAAAGAAGCCAGGCTCAATACTACTACTACTAATAGTAATAATAATATCTGCTCACATATACACTTGCTATAATACTTTATGATTTTTTATCCTTTTTATGTGCTAGGTAAGCACTCTAGCATTGACTGACATCACCAGTCCTTCATTGAAAAATTTTATTTTGAGTCAGGCATAGTGGCACACACCTTTAATCCCAGCACTCAGGAGGCAGAGGAAGGCGGATCTCTATAAAGTGAGGCCAGCCTGGTCTACACCAGGAATTCGGGGCTACATAGAGACAAGGTCTTACTACTTTGGCCAGTTGTCCTTGAATACTCAATCCTCCTGCCTTAGCTTCTAGAAGAGCTACAGTTTCTCATTCCACCACGGCCAGAATGTGTAGTATTTTTTAATGTGAAATTCAAAGCCAAGCCAGCTCTACTCTATACTAAAAGGAGTCGTTACTGTTGGGCAAGACCCTATTGACAAAGAGGGGACACCAGGGAGCCTTTTGGGGTACTACAATATTCTATGGCTTATATCTTGTTCTGGGTGGTGATATACAGATTATATCTTCTTTGAGTCAAATGGTCAAAATTAAAAAAAAAAAAACCTGTTTAGAGACTAGGAAGACAGTTGTCAATGAAGTGCTGTCCCACGAGTATGGAGACCCAGGTTTTCATCCTCAATATCCACACAAAGAGCAGGGCACTACAGCACAGGTGTCTAATTCCAGCTCACGGAAGGCAGGGATAGGAGGTCCCTGAGACTCGATGGCAAGCTAGCTTTGCTGAGTTGCTGAGTTCCAGGCTCAGTGAGAGACCCTGGTTCACCAAAGACAGTGGAGAGCTGTAGGGGAGGGCATCTGATGTGGGACACGGGTACCTGTACCCACACGTAAGCACACATATGTGCCTGCAACCACATATAGACAATGAAAAAAGTGAACAAAATTTCCCCCACAGATTATCATATTAGACCCTTGGACTCCTATATGAAATCAGAATTGACTTGGTTGATGGCATCTCAAGATGTATAATGTGGCCATTCGGGAAGATTTAGAGGCCTCATGAACCTCTAATCCTCAGATCTCAACACGCCTCCCTTGTCAGCATAATTAATCTTCTTCCCTGGGTGGATGAGCTGCTTCTGACTCTCTAGAGCCCTGTTGTGACCTTGTAAAGAGCTGTAAGTGACAGCCGTTCCCTCCCTGCTCCACCCCACCACCCCTCCTCTTCTGGGAATCTATGAAGGCTGTCCCCCAGGGGCAATGGCCACACCAATGCCAGCAGGGAAGGCTGTAAAACCTATAATTGCAAGTTTCATATAATTTACATTAGTAAGTTCCTGCAGGATCCAAGGCAGTGAATACTAAGGGAGCCAGACCCAGGGGCACAATTAGATCAGACCCCTTCCTTCACAGGAGCTGGGTCACCCACAATTCTGCCTTTTAAAGGCTGACTCAGCCGAGACAGGATCTGTCTGGGGTGTCCAAGCAAGGGTCTGGGGGGGTCACATGAGGATGAGGAGACCCTGAATGTAGGCCAACACAAAACTGTAAATTCAAGGAGGCATTATCTCAGTGAGTATGGGTTAGTTTTGGTGTGTGTGTGTGTGTGTGTGTGTGTGTGTGTGTGTGTGTGTGTAGTCAACTTCATGTTTCTCTAGAATGATGTTTATGGGTGACAGCAACTTGTGGCAATGTCAAAGGAGTTGGACGTGCCTACTTGAACCACTTGCTCCGCTAACCAGCTACACCTTGACTGAGCAGTGACCTGGAGTAAATGAAGTTGAATGGCTTCAACTGCCCAACATGAAGGAATGCAGAAATATAGGAAAACTATTCCGGCGGTCCGGCCACCACCTGTGTCGCTACACAGGCTCTGAGGTGAAGCTTCTCTGGTGTTAACTTGACACAAACCTAGACATCTGTGAAGATGGGACTTGATTGACCCATGAGCACATCTCTGGGACATTTTCTTGGCTAATGGCTGCTATGGAAGGGCCCAGCCTACTGTGGCTGGTGCCACCCCTGGGCAGGTGGTCCTGAGAGGCATAAGAAAGGAAGTCGACCACCCCATGGGGAACACACCACGGGTCCCTTGAAGACCTGGCCATTCTGGTTTCAGCTGCGTCTGACTGCCCAACATGGCAACAGCCACCTTGCCCCTGGGGCCATGTGCCTCTCCTGTTCAACGGAACCTCGCCTTTCCTTTGAAGTTAAAAGTCCATCTGTTTCTGGTATGGACTCTCTCCCCTCTGCCTCCTACACAAAGGTTGTCAAAGATGTGAGGTTTCCCCACACTGATGCGAGCCGGGTACACCTCTCTACTCTCAGGGTCCTGCTTCTATTTCTTTTGCTTTGATCAACACCACATTGTGTAGCTACATGCTTAGGAATAATAAATAAAATTCTACCTATTGAAGTTGTGTGTGATGTACTGATATACATATACAATGAAAAATGATCTTTCTCAACTTACTCATTTCCTACGGGAGGTCATCACCTCCCATACTTACTCTGTGTGTGTGTGTGTGTGTGTGAGTGTGTGTGTGTGTGAGTGTGTGTGTGTGTGTTCCATGACTTTTCTTGTCATGGATGTGAACATTGTCTATCCACTCCAGATAGGGGATTGATAAGGCCAAATTGGTCTTCCCTGGTCCAGCTTCATGAATCAATGATTCTATTGGCATCCTCCACAGGCACACGGAAGAGGGTTACATACAGGAGCATCAGTGACCGGGACAGCTGCATAGCTGAGAAGCCCACTAGGGCACGGTCACCAAAGTGTATCTCTGGAGCTCTCTGCCCAACTTGCAGGCAACTCTGCGGAGGACCCTACTGTCTCCAACAGTTATTTACGGCTTATACAAACCCAGGAAGATGCTTGAGCCTTGTTAAGTTTCTTGTGAGGTTTGTGACTTTCCCAGCTTGTCCCACAGAGGAATGTTGAAAACTGGAGGAAACAGGGGCAGGAAGATTGATGAGAATATTTAAGATTATTCTCAGCAAATGCCAAACACGCAATCAGCACCGTCGCCATCATCCCATGCAGTATGCCAGGTCTCCAGAGCTTGCTCACCCTACAGAACTGGAAGTCTGTGCCCCCTCCCCACCCCTGCACTCCCCCCACCACCCAGTTCCTGCCTCTCAGCCCAGTCATGTGACCCTGTGTCTCTGACTTGAGTTTCGAATGTATGTATAATGATGGCCTGCAGTGTTTTGATGTCACATTTCTCTTGGCATGACATCCTCCAGGTTCATCCATGCTGCCCATGAGGGGGCTGCCCTCTTTCCTGGGGATGAGTGACATTCCACTGCGTGCGCACACACACCACTCACTCATTTTTAGACGCCCAGGCACATGTCCATATCTTGACTGCTGTGAAGAAGGTTGTGACGAGCACGGGAGAGCAGACGCATGTCAGCGTGCCAGCGTGCCAGCGTCATTTCCTTTGAACACAGACGCTGACTTGGGATTGTGGGGTCACACTGCAGTTCTGTTGTTAATGTTTTGAGGAACTTCCACATTGTTTGTCATACTGACTGCACTATTTACGTACACAGGGGCCCCCCATGCAAGAGGCCCCTTCCCTCACACCCTGAGCTGCACTTGCTCTCTTTTGACTTTTGATAATGACCACGCTAATGGGTGTGAGGTGACATCTCACTGTGGTTTTAGCCACACTAACAGGTGTGAGGTGACATCTCACTGTGGACTTTAACCACGCTAACAAGTGTGAAGTGAGCTCTCACTCTGGCTTCAACCACACTAACAGGTGTGAGGTGGCATCTCACTGTGGTTTTAGCCACACTAACAGGTGTGAGGTGGCATCTCACTGTGGCTTTAACTCACATTCCTGGTGATCTGTAGCTATAAAGATTTTTTAAGTAGAATATTTCCTTGAGATTTTCTTTATTTTCTTTTATGTGTGTGAGTGTTTTGCATACACGTATGTCTTTGCACTACATTCGTGCAGTGGCTTTGGAAGCCAGAAGAGGGCGTCAAATCCCCTAGGACTGGAGTTACAGATGGGTGATGGGAACTGAACCCCAGTCCTGAGAGAGAGCAGCCAGTGCTCTTAACCGCTGAGCCTTCTCTCCAGCCCTTTGAATAGTTTTGCATGGACTTGATGACCTGTTTATTTTCTTTTGAGAAACATGTATTCTGGTTATTTTCCTCATTCTTTTTAAATCTTTTTTGAAACTAATTATACTTTAGCTGAAACTCTGACCAAGCACGTGGAGCAGAGCATTAAAGCCTAGACGGCAGAGTCGTGAAGTGACGTCATAGGTGTTTAAGGCAGAGTCGTGAAGTGACGTCATAGGTGTTTAAGGCAGAATGGTGAGGTGACGTCATAGGTGTTTAAGGCAGCGTCGTGAAGAGACGTCATAGGTGTTTAAGGCAGCGTCGTGAAGTGACGTCATAGGTGTGGACACAAACACAGAAACGTAAAACGTGAGGCTGGAGCTGGATTAGCAAAGTTCTGGGTTCGATCCCCAGCACCGCGTAGACTGACTAAGGTAGCTCAATGAGGTGGAAAAAGAAGGGTCAGGAGTTCAAGATCATCCTGGATTACATAGTTTTATACATGAAATCCCATCAAAGAAAGAATGAGAAAGGGGGGGGTAGGGAGGATGCTATATACTATTTAAAAAAACAAAGGCCATGGATTAGGGAGACTGCTTGGCTGGGAGTCCAGAGTTTGGCTTCTCAGAGCCCACATAAAATCTGAGTGTGGCAGGCACACAGCCACTCCCTTGGGAGGGAGCAGGTAGCCCCTAGTGGATCCCTGAAGCTCACTGGCCTGCCACACACAGTATTTCCAGGCTCAGAGAAAGACTGTTTCTCAAAAATAAAGGTGGATGGGGGCTGGAGAGATGGCTCAGCAGTTAAGAGCACTGGCTGCTCTTCCAGAGGACCAGGGTTCAATTCCAGCACCCACAGTGTCTCACAGCTGCCTGTAACTCCAGCCACAGGGAATCTGACACTGATGCTCTCTCTGGCCTGTGAGGACACCAGGTATTCAGGTAGCATGTAGACATATATGCAGGCAAAATACCCACACACATAAAATAAATAAAATTAAATTAAAAGCAAACAGAGGTGGTGGGTAATCAAAGGGAGACACCTGATGTGGACCTCTGTCTTACACTCACACACACATGTGCGTGCACAGGTATGTGTACCCATATGCACACATGCACACTACCACAGTAACAAGTACATACAACACACACACAGTGACAGCCTTGTAGAGCTGTTTTTTGTTGTTTTTTTGGTTTGTTTTTTTTTTTTTACATATCTCTTCCACATTCAGCCTATAGCCGTCTGCAGATTGGCCTTTCTCTCTCCAAGTCAACCACGCTTTGGCCTAACGTCCCCAGTTCCCACAGGCCTCTCCTCTTCCCTTTCACATGGAGGGAACTCACCCAAGGTCGCACAGAGTGGCTGCTGTAGTTCATGGACTGTCATAACTCAGGGCTCCTTTGACAGCAGAGCAGGGGCCCTCTCAGGGTGGGGTGAGTTTCATGTTGTGACTCAGTTTCCTGGATGACCCCGGGGGTGGAGGGGGACTGGAGAAAATCAGAATTCTCTGATTCATCCCAGAAGAACCACCCCACACCCACTTCTGATTGAGGATGGGGCAGAACCAACCTCCTCACACTACTCAAAGCAGGACATGCATCCTGACCTCTCCGGGCATGTTCCTTCCTGTTCTGGAGTCCCCCACCCTCACCCCCATTCACTTTTCAGATTAGCGAACTAGAGATGAAAGAGTGCCGTGACTCAGAAGCAATGCACAATGATTCTGCTTTGTAAAATGTGGACCAAGTGCAACTGTTTCATGAGGTGACTGTTAAGGCCGGATGGAGTAGGAACCGGGCTGACTGGGACCTACACACGGAGTCACAAACGTGAACACCCGAGAGCAGCAACGGGTGGGGAAGGGCTGTCCCTCTTATCTTACGATTAAGTAGCTTGAGTTTTACAAGCTGACGTGGTGGTGCCGTATGCCTGCGATCCTGGCATTTGGGTAGTGAAGGCAGGGGGATCAGAAGGTCATTTCCCACTACATAGTGAGTTTGAGTCCAGCCTGGGCAACATGAAACCCTGTCTCAAATAGCATTCCCTATGCGCACATGCGGGCACACACTCACACAAAGTACAAAAGACAAAGCCAGGCTCTCTGCCAAGTCCCTGTAACTCCCTCCAGGGGTAACAATGGACATAGACCGTGTGAATGTTCACAGATACTGACAAGCTGCTGCCGGAAATAATGTTACAATGTCATTGGAGGCACGTTACTAGAAAGTCACTTCCTCCTGGTCAGTAAGAGTTAACACAGGTGGGCCAGTCACCTGGCTAAGCCATTACCCCTTAAGGAGGCAGATTTTCCCAAAGCCATACGGGATGAATTATTAATCCTTTAATCAGTTACTGTGCTTTTCTTTCCAGAAACCCAACCCTCTGTCCAGTCAGCCAGAGCTATTCTCAGGCTCTGATAGGTCCCCCCACCGCTCTGAGCCCTCACTCACTCAGAAAGGTGAAACTTCCTTTTTCTTCTTTTTTCCATCTTTTCTGTCCTGTGCCTGGCTGTGCCCTCTTTCTCTGGAGCTCTGCCCCTTTTGCCATGGGGCTGCTTGCTCGCTGTGGGGCTGACTTCTGTTGCTGGAACACACAGGCTTCACTCAGACTTCATGGTTTTCTCGCTTTCTCTTCATCTCCTTCCTCTGGGTTGCTGCCAAGGTTTACAGCTTGTTTACCCTGCGGTTTTTCTTTTAAACAGATACTTAAGAGGCCCCGATTGATGGAAACTGTTAACTGGAGATTCCCAGGTCCAGAGTCTGAATGAGGGCAGATGGCAGGTGGCGTGGCTTCCTTACCGGTGGCCCTCAACCTTCCTTTTTATACCCTTTAATACAGTTCCTCATGCTGTGGTGACCCCAATTATAAAATTATTTTTGCTACTACTTCATAATTGTAACTTTGCTGCTGTTATGAATTGTAATGGGAATATCTGCCGTGTGACCCCCGCAGGGTAGCGGCCCACAGGTAGTCCACTGCCTTACATAGACAAGGTCAGAACAGACCAGAGAGCCAGGATTTAAAGCTGAGTTTGTCTAATTTTGGAATTTACCCTGGTCAGAGGCAGAAGTCATAAGAATGGGTTTGGCCTAGAATTAGGTGCTGGTCACTGGGCCGGTGCCCTGGCCCTTCAGTCGTGTGAACGGGGATACATGGAGATAAACGGAAGAGCTTTGGGGCTGAAGAGGTGGCTCAGCAGTCAAGAGCACATAACTCCAGCTCCAGGAAATTCCAGCACCTCTCCCTGGCTACAATGGCACCTACATACACATAAAAAATAAGATAAATCTTTTAAAAAAATGAACCAACAAAAAAAAAACCTTTATAAGGACCTGTGTTGGCTGGTTTTATGCCAACTTGACCCAAGCTGGCATCATCTAAGAGAAGGAAACCTTAATGGAGAAAATGCTTCCGTAAGATTGGGCTGGTGTCCTGGGTGCCATAAGAAAGCAGGCTGAGCAAGCCACGAGGAACTGACTCATTGTAATTCATTCTCCACTAAGGAGAAGGAACATTTATTTAACTGTGCCCATGTCTTGCTGGAGAGGCTTTCAATTTGTTTCCAGTTTTGTGATGAACAATGCTGACCAACAGCCTCTTTGATATTTCCATCCTGCCATGCTTGTGTGTGTTGTTTATTGACATTTTAACTACCATCTGTGCCTTCCAGTCCTGCCAGCATCAGTTTAGCTGTGGCTGAAGCCATGCAGCCCGAAATGTTGTTTTTATCTAAGTTGTTTTGTTTTCCAATAAAGATTCGGGAGTCAGATGTTGGAATGAAAACCTACTAGATCAGAGAAGCCCCAAAGCAACCAACTGACCTTTCTTTTTGGCTGGAGACCCAGCAAGAGAGAGAGTCTCTCCACTCCGTCCTAAACCAAAGAGATCAAGAAATCTCTAAATCCCTCCATACTTCTTCCTGTGTCTCTCTATCTATATAGCTGAGTCCTCCATACTCTCTATGGCTAATTCTAGTCAATTAGTCACTGGCTTTGCTCCCTGATCCAAGGCTAATTTTATTAACACAATCTGGGAGTTTCACAGCGTGATCAAATAATCTGCAAAAAGTGTATGGTAACCTGCATCCTTCCATGCTTGTGTGTGGCACCTGCATCCTTCCATGCTTGTGTGTGGCACCTGCATCCTTCCATGCTTGTGTGTGGTACCTGCATCCTTCCATGCTTGTGTGTGGCACCTGCATCCTTCCATGCTTGTGTGTGGCACCTGCATCCTTCCACACTTGAGTGTGGCACCTGTATCCTTTCACACTTGTGCTTTGTACATCCACCCTTCCATATTTTTGCTTTGTTCTATTATGAATATTACAAATTAATTAATTATGAAAGTACAGGACAACTTTCATTTAATCAGTATTGTAAGATTGCTATGGTAGTATACAATAAGTTCAAGGCCAGTCTGTCCAACTTGGTAAGATCTTGTCTCAAAATAAAAAAAGCAAAATGGATTTTATATATGTATATATATATATATAATCATATGTATATAGTAGATCACTTGCTTGGCTTGCCAGAGTCTCTAGATTCATTCTCTGATACTGAAAAAATTGCTTTGACCATACTGAATAAAAAAATTATCATGATAATTGTAAGGACCAAGTGCCACCAGCAATGGGCATCGGTTCTTCTTCTGCTCATCCTGTCTAAGCCCAAGGCTCTCCCTATCACAATATATTGGCTGAGGTTTCTTTTGCTTCATCTGGATAGAAATTGTATCATTGTGGATAGATACAAAGTCTACAAATGCTGCTCCACGGAGGCTTCACATCCCTTATGGATTTGGCTACAGAGAACCATAGCAGCAGATAGGCATGAGCAGCGGTAAGGAGCGCCCTCTAGTGTTACACTTGCCGTTCAGGCTTCGGAATCAGGCCTGGGTCACTGGATCAGCACAGTGGGGGCAGGTTCAGATCTTGGGTTGCAGCTGGTGGGTGACTGAGTCCTTCACAGCCGCGTGCGTCTTCAGCTGTTCTTCGGCAACTTTGGCAGTTGTACAGCAATTACGGACACTGTGCCGAGAAGCCAGGGCCTTGGACTCAGCAACCAGGTGCCAGTCCCAAGAAGGGCTCTTTGGAAGCCCAACCGCAAAGATTGGAATCTAGGGAAGAGGTGTCAGGACTACTTCCAAGGCCACCAGGACCTCTGCCTGCGTCAAGCAGCTGCCCTGGCTCTCCAAACTGTCAAACAGACAGCCACGGCTTCAGCTATCAAGCCGCTGGGGCACCGGGGCTGTAACGATGGTGTCAGTTGCCTCCACTGCTGCTGCCGCCTTTCTGTGTTACAAAGGGGACCTGCGGTGCTGAGAGCAGGCACTCCAGAGATGCCTCTACTGCCCCAGCATTGCAACCTCAGGAAAGCGGCTCCCTGCCAGATAAGTCAGCGAGCCATTCATTCTAGGCCAATCACAGCCCTTGTTTGGGCCCGCCACAGCTGTGCCTCGGTGGCACCAATCAGTCTTAAAGCTTGTGTTTTGGTATTTGGTGACCTTGCCTCTGACACAGCTCCTCCACCAGGAGGGCTTCCCCTCTGGCCATGGAAATGATTGCAGGGCCGTCTAGAACACAATTTCCCCATTGCCTTCTCTTCCCCTCATTCCTGGTCCTCCTACTTAGTGCAGAATTGGACTCAAGCTTGTTAACCAGTTAAGGGGGACCGTGTGTTTCCCATCTTCCTGTCAAGTGCTGGGATTAAAGAATATGCACCACCATGCCCAATTTTAATCAGTGCTAGGGATGAAACCCAGGGCTCCATGCTCGCTAGCCAAGTGCTCTGCCAACTGAGTTACACTCCCAGCCCTAAAGTACAGCTTCTTGTGTGTGCGTTTAAATTTTTTTTACATTTTTATTTTATATGTGTGAGTTAGTTTACATGTATGTCTGTGCACTGCATATGAGTCTGGTGCCCTCAGAAATCAGCAGAGGGTGTTGGAGCCCCTGAGACTGGAGTCACATATGGTTGTGAGCTGCCCTGCGGGTGCTGGGAATTGAACTGGGTCCTCTGCAAGAACAAGTTCTTTTGAGCCTGGCGGTGGTGGCACACACACCTTCAATCCCAGCACTCGGGAGGCAGAGGTTGGCGGATCTCTGTGAGTTCGAGGCCAGCCTGGTCTACAAGAGCTAGTTCCAGGACAGGCACCAAAAGATACACAGAGAAACCCCTGTCTTGAAAAACAAAAACAAACAAAAGTACAAGTGCTCTTAACCACTGAGCCATCTCTCCTGCCCTAAAGTTTCTTGAACTGTGGGCAGTGACCTCACATGGAATCGCATAACTGAGTAGGGAGACCACAGAATATTTGGCAACAGTAAAAAGGTTTCTGACAGGAAACCAACCAAAACTTAATTCAAAATCAGATGCATAATGAATTTGAGGTGCTTCTGGTGTATGTGTGTAGCCCACTCGTGTTGCATTGTGAGCCCCCGCGGTAGCCTGCCCAGGGCGTGCCGTTAGGCCACACAGCTCCAACGCTGCCTGAAAACTTCAGCTCGGATCCCAAACTGTCGTATGCTATGAGATGCAGCACTTTCATTGCACACACAAAAATCTGTTTGCTG